TTTTTTTTTTAAGAAAGGCGCTCTGAAGTGTGTGAAGCAGCGCACAGTGAGATGCGCCTTCCTGTCCCAGAGCACAGGGCAAGGGAATGCCGACACCGTGTGAAAAATGTGAGGAATGTCAGAACAGTGTGTGGAAACGGTCAGACGGGAAGCTGTGTATGCATTTACCCAAATCACAATATGCTTTCAAAAGAAAAACATGTGGTTGTCCAAGATGGCCTAGCGACCACTAGTAGTTACCGGAGGTAAGCATGTGGGCCGGGAACCCTGATTAGGGGCCACTGAGCTGCTACTCTGGCTGACGGGAAAACTTAGAAGCAGCTAAGGGTGCTGGTTGACCAACAGGACACATAAACCCCAGTGAAGAGTGTTTGAAGAGGCGAACCCCTTGCTTCATCCACGTTTCCTCCGACATCCAAACGCAGAGCCAGGGAAGGAAACCTTCCCAAAGGCAAACGCCGCTGTAAGCAAGGAAGCAATTGCCATTCCTTTATGTGGGATTTTTTCCCCCACCGTTTCCAGCCTCAAAACTTAACCCACCAACTCGTCCCGAATAACACCTAAAACTTAAAACTTAAAATAGCACTAACGTACGAGAAAAGCAGGACGGATGATAAATGAAACTTCACACTCACTGCCGTCTAGTCGTGGGACCCTGTGTGCTAAATACACAGTCCATACATTCAGTGGGGTCCCGGGGAAGGAGCTTGGGATGCCCCTGACCCCCCTGACCCCCACCCCCCACCCCCGCTCAAGCTTCCAGACCCTCGGCTGCTTCCTCTGGGTTGGTGGTTCTCAACCTTAGCTGCACACGCAAAACCCAACCCAACCATCAAGCTGGCTGCCTTCCAGTCAGTTCCAACACACGGTGCCTCATGCTTTTCAGAGCCCAGCGGGCCCTCAAGGGGTTCGGTGCCCTGTCTGAAGCAGATCACCAGGCCTTTCTGGTTAGCAAGTTCTTCCTGGGTACGTTTGAACCTCCAACTTTCAGCATCACTAGGGAGCTCGATGGAGCCCTGGAGGCATAGCACTTACGAGTTGGGCTGTGCTCTGAAAGGTTGGCAGTTTGAAACCACCCACAGCGCTGCTGGAGAAAGATGGGGCTTTCCACTCCTGAGTCTTGAGCCTACCCTGTCCCCTAGGGTTGCTAGGGGTCATCACTGATGGCAGCGAGTTGAGGAGGGAGTTGAATAAGGAACCCTGATGGTGTAGCGGTTGCACATTGGGCTGCTAATTGTCAGGGTCAGCAGTTCAAAACCACCAGCCGCCCTGTGGGAGAAAGATTGGGCTTTCTACTCCTGTAAAGAGTTATCGTCTCAGAAACCCCAGGGGCAGGTCTACCCTGCCCTGTAGGGCCACTATGGGTCAGCATCCAACTGAAAGCAGTGAGTTGGTTAGTTTTTAAATGTTTTTTCAGGGAGCTGTATAAGTACATTGGTGCCCAAATGGCAGCTCAAACCATTTGAGGTCACTGTTCTGGAGAAGAGCCCAGGTCTTGGGTGGCAGTAACACCCACCAGGTGATCCCACTGTGCAGCTGAAGGTGAGGCCCACAGTTTGGGCATCCTGAGACCTGTTCCCTCCTGGGGGGCAGGCCAGATGGGGACCACCCTGGCTGTCCCCATCTCTGCTCATGCTAAGTCTGGCTACATTAGCTCAGGATAGCACCCCTGACCCATCCCTCAAGCCGGATGTGCTTGGTCTGTGTTCTGGGCATGGCTGTTTGTCTGGGGAGCTTCAGGGCCAGAACGTAACTCTGTGAGAGGTGGGCTGCTGGTTTCAGCACGTCTTCCCCCTCCATCAAGCACTTTCACCAGTCCCAACTTCGCCCTTCAGCCAAGCAGCCCTCCCCGAGACCTGGGTCATATTCAGGGTTGATTAGCACGCTTCCCGCATCTGCCTAGGAATCAGATGAAAATGTCAGAGACGGGTCTGTAGCTGGGCCGCCACAGCCCCCTACCGGACACCTGTCACCAGGCTGCCCTCGGGCCACTCAACAACCCTCCACGAGGTCCCGTAAACATAGCAGTGCCTGGCCCACACCACCACGTGGCGACAGGTGACATGCTGTCAAACACCAGCCTGAGATCAGGCTGACGATGCCACTGCCTCTCCTGCCTGGTGCAACGAGTGTCCCCAAACAGTGTGGGGATCCGGCTCCAGAGGGTGGGCACTGCGGTCTGAGTCTGGCCAGAAAAAGCTGAGCCTTGTTGAGCGAGAGGATTCCTTAGAGATGGGCTAGGCCCGCGGAATTCAAACTGTATTTGAAACCGAAGTATTCGTTCAGGGCCCTCTCCCAGACTCACCGGGAGGGCGCTGTTTACGGAGCCTTGCCTCTCCATGTCACAGCTACGAAAAGTGAGGGTCAGAGAGCAAAGGCGACTTCCCAAGGTCACCGCCGACTTAAGCAAGGAGGAGGTGGAACCATGTCCAAATCCTCCCCACCCCAAGTGGCTGGAGAGCAGAGCCACATTATGGCACCATTGTGAGTTTATATTTCCTTAGTTGTGGGGGGGGGTGTCTGATGTGCCAGACTCAGGTGTGGGGGGACAGAGCCAGGTATGCACTGGCTGGGAGATTCAGAGAAGGAACCCCTCCTCCAGGCTGTAGGCCAGGAGGGTCGGGGAAGTGTAGTTCCCAGGACTGGACAGCAGAGGGAGCACTAACCCGAGGCTTGCTAAGGCAGCGATAGTGCTGCGACCCGAAGCCTTGGGCAGGTGGCCCTCTCTCAGGGACACGAGGGGCAGTGGCGCAACGATCCCTGGAGGAACGGAGGCTTATCAAGGTTGTGAGTAGGGCAGAGGTACCTGTGGCCTTGAGGGTCCATTGTCAATGACAGGCCCCCTGGGCATTGGATTTACATCCAGAAGAAGCCATTCCACCTTTAATTTGGGTTCACTCCTCTCTGTGGGCGGAGCTCCACTGCTGCACGCTCCCCCCGCCCCCCTTTCCAGCTTGGAAGACCAGTGGGGATAGGAACTTGCAGTGTGATTCAGGCCTGGCCAGTCCATAGAGAGCACTGACCCACTTCATGCAGAGAACCCCTGGGGCTCAGCACACAGGCCTGCCCTGGAGAGTGGCTACTGGGGCTCCCTGCCCTGCTGTTTGCCGCCTGTGGGCAGACTGCCTGCCTTGCCCCAGGGAGGACTCTGCTGTTTGCTTCCTTGACCTTGGACCCGCAGCCCATGTGAGTTGAAGGACTTCCAGTATATTAACTGTTCCACGGAAGTGAGTTGAACTGAATCCTCTGTACTGCTGTGTGGACTAATTAGCCGTTATTCCTTCTCACTGTATATAGATATAGATAATTGTAAGTGTCCTGGTTTCGTTTCTCTGGAGAAACCTGCCTAACACAGCATCGACTAGGTTTTAGCCACCTGCTGGGCAATGAGCCCCGGGCTTTCTCTTTCTCTGGAACCCTCACCAGGGGTCATCAGACTAGGATTGATGAGACCCATTTTACCAGTGAGAGAAAAGCAGGCGTGTCTCCCTCCATAGACTAGACTGAGGGTGCTCCTCTCAGAATCCCAGGCTGTCCCTGGCCCATCTGGCCCGCAGACCAATGTGAGCAGGCAGCATGGTGTCTAGAAATTTCACCCGTCAATGGGCACCACCATCCCCTACACCTCTTCTCCACGGAACTCAGCGTGAGGGCAGGGCACTTGGAAAGTGCAGGGCTGGGTGGCAGGGCGCCAGTTTAGGGTACACTTCCACCAAGCTGTGAGTCAGCTTTCTGGTGGCTCAGTTTCCTGATCTGTAAAACGAGGAGGGTGCGGGTGGCCCGGGTCTCAGGCGGTGTGGAGTATCTGCTGAGTATCTGGAAGCGCTCCCAGTCTACAGAGAGGGTAAGGCAGCTTCTAGCTGAGGGCTCAGCGTGGGAAGTGGGTCACAAGCATCACCTGGTTCTTATTTGGACAACTAATTCATTAAGCAATTAGCCTCATTTAAAAAATTTTTTTCCCAGGGCCAGGGAAGTTAAGAGATGGCTCAAGGTCACACAAGAGCAGAGCCAGGAATGAAACCAGGCCCTCAGAGGCCTCCGGCTGTGGTCAGCCCTCGACTCTGACTCTGGGTGGCACCATCCTTGTGAACAAAACCCTGCCTGATACTGCACCATCACTGGGACTGGACGGGCCGATGTGGGGGTCAGATAGCTGGGCCTGTCTTCCCGGTTCCTCTTACCCTTCCTAGGCTGTACGCATGGTGGTGGCAATGGGGAGGGCTGGCCGTATGGCAACCTTTCATGGCCCTAAAGACTGTGATGATGACTGCCCACCTGCTTCTGCTGGTCTGCAGGGACATGGTGGGCAAGATGGGTGTGAGGACTGCAGGGACCCTCTCTCACCTGCATGCTGTGTCCCCTTGGGGACCCTCCTCTCACTGCCTGCCCAGAGCAAGCAGAGAGAAAGAACAGCACTGACTTCCAGCACGAGGGTGGGGTGCTGGTGGTAATGGGGTGGGGTGGGATGGGGGAGTGCCAAGGGAGGGGCATGGTGGAGGTGCAAAGGCTCATTCTCCGGGCTCAGAGCTGTGTGTACAGAGGAGCACACACACCTGGGCATGCACACGTAGGAGCACTTGGCACACACACAAGTATACTCACAAAGGAATGCGTGCATATACATGCACACACACACACATTCACAGCACACATAAACGCAGACCCATGCACACAGTCCGGTGCATGCAGACAGAGCCTTGCACACACACCTCAGCAGGCCACGCATAAAGCATGCACCTACCTGAGCCCATATTCATACTCCTCCCAGCTCCCTGCTCTTTACAAGTTCAAAGTCTCCCCCAGGGCCCCGGGAATTTCCATGGCCTCTGGGGGAGAGGCTGACCACGAGTCCACCCTCAGCTGCAAAGGGGATGGAGGAGGGGAGAGGGCAGGGCAGGGGTGGGTTGGGGAAAAGGTCAGTTATTTGAGTCGAGCCAATGAGGGTTCGAGTGGGAGCTCTTTCAGAACATCCCCAGCCCCACCCCCACATCCCAGCTCACCTGCAGGCAGGCCACCCCGATGCCCACAGCCCCCATGAGGAGCAGGTGGTCGGCCAGGAACTGTTCAAGCTTGGTGATGCAGCCCCCCTGCAAGGGAACCACCCAGAGGTCATGCTTGCTAGGGGCCAGACGCAGGGTGGGCTGGGCTGGCTGAGGACACTGCCCAAGAATGAAAGAGTCTGGCCTCAGCCCTCCAACTGCTCCCAGGCTCATTAGATGGCTCTGGGAGGGACAAGTCCTGGGATCCCCACTAGGGGGACCCCACTTGTCCCTAGGGCTTGAAAGAGGCCCCAGGCAGCACTGTGGTCACCCTGCCAGCTTGTCCTGCTCCACTCCCCTCTGCCACCCCCCTCCCAGGGGCACTGAGTGCAGGGCAGACCCCCTGGAGCATGGCAGCTCACCTTGACCTTGTAGATGTTGGAGGGGTGGACCCGCTGGCCGCAGCCTGTCACCACTGTCTTGCAGCAGCTGTCTGGCACCCGGCGGCCCTCGGCCTCACGAGACAGGATGTACGCGCTCTGCTGCCAGTCGGCTGAGCTGTCGCTGCCGCAGCACTTGAACTGAGGGGAGAAGCAGAAGCTTTGGGGGGAGGGTCAGTGGGGAGGGGGGTCCTCCAGGCCCTGGGCATCATCCGGGCTGGCAAGACACAGGGCTCAAACACGCATCCTGTTCCTGCCCCTTCCCCCGAGGTGAGCAGGGGCCATCTTCTTTAGACCCAGGGCAGAGGCTACCTACAAGGCCCCTTGCCCAGCTCCTGTTGCTCCCCTAAACCCGCTCAGGCGAGGAGGCTGTGTCTTGGGGGACAGAGCAGGTCCACAAGAAGATGCCATGGAGATGGGGGGCTGGTGCGTTCCTGGGCCTCTGGGGGTGGGCAACCAACAGGGTGGGGACAATGCAAGGGGCTGGCTCCTTGGTCATCTGGGGGAGGCAGGGCCCCAGGGACACCTTGCAAGGTGCCTCTATGGCCCCCATGCATGCCTGGCTGCCTCCGAGCCGCAGCCTGGGGTACAGAGAGCCCTCGAAGCTGCAGAGCAAGAATGTCACTGCTGAACAGAGGACCCAGGTGAGCGTACCTAAGGCCTGGCCCATTCTGACCACCCCAGGGGCCCCAGGCTGCCTGAGGCAGCACTTAAAGTCCCAGTGGGAGTCGCAAGCACTCAGAAGTGGGTGAATCTGCCAGTCTGAGTCGGGGAGGCTGAGACACCGAGGTGTGTGAACGTGTGTGCAAGCAGCTCTGTCAACAAGGGCTTGCTAGGCATCCACCCTGAGCTAGGAGCGACGCCAAGCGGAAGCGTCGAAACACGAACAAGGACTCAACTCCTGCCCGGAAGTAGCGCGTCCCGTCCCGTGTCCCTCTGACTGCAGAACTCCTCACAGCGAGAGGCCCAGCCCGCTGTGCATCCTGGGGCAACACACACAAGTGGCCCTCGCTGGCCGTGAGAGATGTGTTCAAGAGGTCCTGCGCCAGGACGTGGGCCAAGCTCCCGTGTGGATGACGACGCACTGGGGCCCATCTCCTCAAGTGGACTGTGCTGTTCCTAGAGCTGGGGTCCACCAAACGCCACCTCCCACACAGTCCCAGGTCCGAGACCAGACCTCAAGCCCAGGGTGGGCTCTGCAGAAGCGATGCAGTCAGACCAGGAGGGGAGGGAAGCAGACGAGGGCCCGCCCAGAGGGCAGGCGAAGGGGCCTCAAGGCAGGAACAGACTCTTCAGGGATCGAGAGCTGCACCTGGAACTTTCTATGTGGATACAAATGCTCCCTGTCTGCACAGTGCAGTGGCCACTGGCCACCTGGCCAGCTCAGGTACGGCCGGTGAGCCCTTTGCTGCGAACCAGGCCCTCAGCTAGAGCCCACCTGCCACCACGTGGCCTCCAGGTGACTGGCTCTGCAGGAGCAAATGCCTGCCTGTCTGCTGCGGTAAATATACCCACTGAGAACCGCCCTGGGGCAGTTCCAGTCTGTCCCGCACGGTCCCTGTGGGACAAAGCAACCCGACGATGGCGTGCTACAATGACGGAAGGCAGTCAACTTCAAATGGCCATAGGCACATGGGCATCAGCCTGGGCAGCATCTGCTTGACCTCAGCCAGGCCCGAGGGCCACCCTGGAAGGCCCTGGGGAGTCCCTTCTGGGGAAGGAGAGTTCACCGTTCTATCTCCAGCGATCTGCATGCCCACTGGAGGCTGCAAAGCGATTGCAGTTTTCTTAACTGAGGCAGCCCTGCCAGCGCCAGCTCCCAGCTCTGCCCGGAATGGAGGAGGAAGGCGGGCCACGCAGATGGAAGGAGCCCAGAGAGGAACTTCCTGCCCCGATCCTTGCCAGGAGATGGAGTTCTCCTGGCTCAGCCAGCTTCCTTCCCACAGGGGCCCCAGGACTGGAGGGAAAGCAGCAGGGATGGGGTGTGGAGGAGGGAGTTAGGGGAGCATAGGGGAGGCTAGCAACGAGGAGGAGGAGGAGGAGGAGGAGGAGGAGGAGGAGGAGGAGGAGGAGGAGGAGGAGGAGGAGGATGAGAGGGAGGAGGGGAGGGACAGGATCCAGCATTCAGGAAGCACTCATCAGGGCCAGGACACACTGGTGGGGGCTCTTACATGGGCCACCTCACCTAACTAGGAGCACTTCATTGGAAAGCCCTGTAACGGAAGTTCAGAGAGGGTCAGACGCTTGGCCAGGGTCACGCAGATGGGGGAAGCAGAGTCAGGATCTGAACTCGGGTCTGATAGGCCTGCAAGCCTTGGGGCAGGGGCTTACATCCTGCTGCAGACGGTCCACAGAGGCTGTGATTTCCATGGCCCTGGGCTGCCCGTAGTTCTCCGTCAGCGTCCGGTTCAAGTGCTGTTTTAGCTCCTCGCTCAGCTGAGGGGTGTGGAGAGAGGAGGTGCAGTCAGCAGGGTATCCTCAGCCCGCCCCCGGAGTGGGGTACCCAGACCTGCTCCAGAGCCATGCCAGTGAACTCCAGGGCACACTCTGGTGGAGGTCTCCCAAACAGTGCAGGGGGACTGGGGAGGGGGGCACAGCGGAGAAGCTGCTGCAAGATTGGGGGCCTGGGCTCTCAGGGGAGGGCAGGGGTGTGAGGGGCTGGGAAGAGGCCAGGCTGCCTTTCCCATTTCTGTGGGCTCGCATGTTGGTGATGGGGCAGGCGCCTGACTGCAGACACTTACCCTCAGGACTCAGTTCAGGCTTCCGGGGCACTGGTGTGGCCGAACTCCGCCAGCCAAACCCCACCCTGGTCGTGACCCTGAGTCTCTCTGCCAGAGAATGCCAGGGCTGGAGGAGACCTGGCGACCAGGCCCTGCCCGCTCAGCTTGGCCCATGCCTTTCTCCTGGGGGGTCTCTAACACACAGACTCATCCTCCACCCACCCTGGGAATGAGAGAGGAATGATGGGCCCCTCCCATGGGGAACTCCCACACCCCACTCCCCCCTGCCAAAGACCTCTCCCTTAACAGCTGTAGCTGGGAGGTGCTGGAACTGGGGATGCTAGCGGATCCAGATGTGCAGAGGCTTGATGGGAGCCTGGCAAGGAAGACAAGCCCAGGTGGTGCAGGGGTTAAAGCACTCAGCCGCCGTCAGTTTGAATCCCCCCCGCTGCCCTGAGGGGGCAGGACAGGGCAGTGTACACGTGACAGCTTTGGAACAGGGGCAGTTCTACTCCGCCCTGTAGTGTTGTGATGGGTCTGACTCAACCACACAGAAGTGGGTTTTATTTTTTGGCGGGGGAGTGGGGGGCTGCCCACCCACATGCTGAATGTCTCTGCCTCAGTCTCCCCGAGTCTTTGTCCCTCCAGGGGATGCGGGTGGAGAGCTCAGAAGGAAGACGCTAACATAGACTCACCTTCTGGTAGTACACATGGGCCAGGACTCCCGCCACCAGTTCCACGAGGAAGACGCCCAGAAGCAGGCAGAAGTACTGGGGGCAAGGAGAGGAGCCGTCACCACCAGGTCTCACCCCTGAGCACGCAGGTTGGGGTGTCGGGGAGCACCCCGAAACAATGAGGTAATGATGTCTGCCGGGGACCTCATCACTCACCTGTCGCCACCCCCTTGTGCCTGCAGCTCCAGGCATGCCAGCCTCTGCTGGCTCCTAGCCCCTCCCTCGCCAGCCCATGAACCCAGCCACCCCATCCAATAGACACGGCCACTACGAGTCGGAATTGGCTCGACGGCCGTGAGTGTGAGCTTTTGAATTTAGATGCCCTAGAGACACCATGAGGCAAGCGCTGAGAGGCTCACCACAAGGTCAGCAGTTCTAACCCACCAGCCACTGCAAGGGAGGAAAACGAGGCTCTATACTCCCCTAAAATAAAAACGTGAGCTGTACGTAGGGCCCCTGTGAGTCCAAATCAACCGAGGGCGGCGGTGGGTTGGGTTGGGTTTTTATTGGTCAGGGGAGGCTGTGATGTCCAGTAGGTTCCAGCCAGGCTTCCAGACCAACACGGACTGGGGGAGAAAGACCTGGCCATTGCACTGGTCCTGTCTGCAGCCCAGGGGGCAGCCCAGGACGGGGCAGCACCTGGCCCTGCTCCGGAAGGTGCTACCCAGCCTGCCTTCCCACCTGAAGCAATGCCATCTCAAGTTCTTGCCCAGCAGCGGTTTCTGGTTTCCCCACCACCGCGGGCCTCCTCTGGGCCTGAGCTTGCTCTTCACGCTTCGCGGGCCGGCTGCCTTCCTGGCTGCTCACCGGACTGTGACAGCAGGAGAGCCGGAGCCAGTGTCCCCTCTCAGCCAGCTTCACACAGACAGGGAGGCTGCTGGGACACCACCTGACCTGGGTGTTCCTGCAGGAGGGCACAGGGGACCCAGTGGGTTGGGCGGATGGAGGGAGATGAGGCAGGTGCTACCCAGGCTGCCTCCCCAGCTGAAGCAATGCCATCTCAAGTCCTTGCCCAGCAGGGGTTTCTGGCTGGGCAGAGAGGACAAGGCGGTGGTGGTGGGAGCATTTTCTGATGGACGCTGGCCCTGTTCTGGGTAGCACAGCTCCTGACCATGGCTGTCCTGAGCACTGGTGAATGACGTCACTTCTCTCCAAGGCTGTCCCACCCCCTAGGCATTGCCCATCCACCCAGGGGCACTGGGATCCTGGGCTGGTCGGGAAGGCCCGGCTGATGGGCAGGAGCTGAAGGGCTGGGCTCATCAGGAGGCTGTGTGAGCAAGTCAGAGACAGGCAGCAGGGGCTGCCCAGGAGGGATGGGGCGGGGACAGCAGGGACAGGTTTAAGAAACATAGGGGGGTGAGGGGGCGGGCTGGGGTAGAGTGAGGGGGACACAGGAAACTTCTCCCCACAGAACTCAGATCCAAGAGCAAGACTCCTTTTGAAGGCAGGTCCGTCCCTTCTGTGCCACCAGTCCTGTAGGCACCATTGGGTCTGTGTTGGATTGTTATGACAGGGTCAGCGGTTCAAACCCACACACCCCGAGGGGGAAAGGTGAGGCTATCGGTTCTCATGGAGATGACACAGTGGCTCTGGGTAGGAATCGACTCTGTGGCAGTGGGTACAGTTCCTGGCTAGGAGTCCCCGGGTGGCACAAACCATTACGGCTTTCGGCTACGGATCAGAAGGTTGCAGATTTGAGTCCTCCGTCCCCCAGGGGTACCTTGGAAGAAAGGCCTGGCGATCGCTAGAGAAACCAGCCATTGAAAACCCACACAGGGCTCATTCTGCGTTAAAATCCATTCCATGGCAGCTGGCTGGCCTTGGGTGTTCATCGTTTCCTGCACTGGCAGCACCCAGGACAGACACAGGGATGCCGACGCGGCTTTCTAGACAACGATGTCATCGTTCATGGGCCTGCCCCAGCCTCTGCCCCACGGCCACGAGCCCAAGCTCCACCCCTCCCCTCATCAGCTGCCCTTTGGCACTCCCTTGGACACAGACTTGGGAAGGCTTGCACGGGCGGGACTCAGCGGGGGTGCAGGCTGGTGGTGCATACTCTGGGGCTGTCGGGCAGGCTTTCCAAGCTCCTGGGTTCCTGGGTTCGACCTAGATATGGGGAACTGTCTGCAGGTGCCATGACAGTACACGCGTCAAGGCCCACCCAGAGTCCCCTCACTCCACGAAGCCAGCTGGAGCCGGCCCGGCGGGAGGCTGCCCAGGCCTGTGGATGGTCCCTCTGCCCGAGCAGCCTCTGAGCAGCACAAATCTGCAAACCAGAAGGCACTGGTGGGGGGTGAGCCAAGCTGGGTTGGGGTCCAGGTGCTGCCATTTCCTGGCTCTGGATGGGTGGCTGTGGCCTGAATTAGAAAAATGTACTCCAGGCTGGGGACGCTGCAGTCCCCAGCAGG